CTGTTTTCAAAAATAAATTTTTAAAAATGTAGAGTCTCTCTTTGGTGGGCTGTGTCTCCTTCCCTTGTCTCTTTCCTTCTCTCACACACGCCCCTTCCCATAGAAATTGAGCCCAGAAGTAGTAACTGTTATCAGCTGAAATTGCATGTACTCATTGCTTTATTTGACGTCTTTCATTCTGGCTTGTTGGAGTACACATAGAGGTTTGGCTGAGGCTCATATTCTGCAATTCTAGATTTCTCAGCATTCCAAGGTTTGTTTCTCATATCTAACTTGGGGAAAATGTCTTAGGAGGAAAAGGGAAACCTAGCTAATAGTCAAAAGTGCTTGGAGATCACCCGTATGAATTTTGAATAAAAGCTCATTTGTTTCAAAGAAACACAGCTCAGAGCAGAAGTAATCATAAGGAGATGATATTTTAATACCATAAAGGAGGAGAAAGACAATAAAGAAAAGTCTTCTTTTCAATTTTAACAAACGATATTTTTTTCCCTGATAACAGACATCTAAAATCAATCACTTTTGGGGAAGAAAGAAATGAGGTCTAAAAGTCTATGCTAACATTGATTAAGATTAGGTCATCCACTTTAACTTCTAGTTTCTTTCATTCATTCAGTAATAATAATTATTTGTCGACTTTCTACTGCAGACCAGGTACTGCATTACATGCCAGGGATATAGTGGAAAGCAAGATCCATTCCCTGCCATCGTAGAGTTAACAGTCTAGTGTCCAAAGAAAAGTCCCCAATGTTGTCCTCTCGGTTCCCCCAGTTGTCAGCCACATGCTCTCACCATCCAATCCCGTTACCAGACACTGCCCATGGGATGAGGGTCTCTGGCCTGTGCTCCCATTAAAACTGCCAGGCCTTGGGACAAACATTTCCACTAAGTCAATCCCTGAATATCAGCCAGGGTCATGGGCTCAGAGCCACAAAGACAGGAGGCCCTGTCTGAAAGGAGCCATGTCTTGGGCCCAGAATTTGAGTGAGTCATCTTTTCCTAGGATGGCTGTGCTCTTCGCTTCATTCGATCACCAATTTCCTGTGTCTTTAGCACATGGCTTTACTGAAAATGAAACTGCTTATTTTCAGCTCTGAGAGGACCCTGCTGACCATGGGAGCCCTTGGGTCAGGAAGGGTAGAGAGTCTGTCCCTTGTTATTGGCTATGTCGAGTACCCTGCACAGACTCCAAAAATATTCATGGTGATATGAGTCACATGGGAGCAGTCTTCAAATCTGAAGCACTGGCTAAGGTAGGGGCTGAATGTAACCTACAGCCGCTGGGCAAACAAAGGTTCTATTTTTGTTTTAATGATGAAATTTGAGACTTAAGATTTATGAGAACTATAAGTAAGTATATTTGCCAATATGACAAGGAAAAATTCTGTTACTAATCAATCAATTCATACCACTTTTTATTATCACAAAAGATGTAGGTGTTCCTTTGTGGAAAATATAAAAAAGAAAGATTAGAAAATAAAAATCACTCATAATCTTGTCACCAAGGAATCATTACTAATAAAATATCTCCCATAGTTTGCAAATCTTTTTTTCAAAGTAAGATTCTATTCTGCATATTATTTTGTAACCCGCAATTTTTTAGCAACCATATATTGAGAACATTTTTTATATGTCATTCCGTGTTCTTCTTCTATGACACTCTTTTTTGGTGATTGCATTATGTATTCTATGATATGGAAACATGATATATTTACTTAAGTAATCTCTTTTTGTTGAACATTTAAGTTTTTTATTGTTTATCTTTACTACAAAGAACAATTTTGCCTTTATTTTGAAAGATCACTGCTTCAATAGTTTAAGCTAAGATCTGGCCCCATGGAAGGCAGGACTTTGGGTTGAAGAAACAACAGATTTTGGGGGGAAGGGGAAAATATCTGGCACCCATGGTTGTTTAGTCCGAAATGGTAATCATAAGCCGCACACCTTACATAACCCTGAAGGTTCTCAAACTAGTGTTGAATTACATGGAGGCCAAGTTGTGGGGCTGCTTCAGTGTGGGATGCTTGTCTCCCTTCCCTACTTCAGGAATGGAATTTTGACTTTTCTTCCTGTTCTTTCTTCATGTTCTCTCTTCCCTACTTCTGCTCCAAATTGACAGTCCAAAGCGTTAGTTTACCAGGTCTTATCCTAATGAGAAGGGGGTACTTTTCGCCCCTTGGTAATCAGGCCATGGCCATGGGTGGAGCACTCGTCCAACCCAAAGCTGGGTCTGTTCCAGTCCAGCAGGTAAAGCAGTTCATAGGATTGTAAAATGTCAGAACCACAAGTGATCAAAAGGATGATCTAGACTCCTATTTCCATCCCCATGTTATAGAAAGGAAGTGACTGGACCACTATCATGGGGCTGATGGCAGAGCTGGAACAAGGGGCAGAGCCAGGAGGCTGTGTGGTGGGATGATTAATTACAGTGTGTCTGGGGACAGATTGCCTGGGTCAGTCCTGTATCCACCACTTCTGAGCTGCGTGACCTTGGGCAAGTTATTTAACACCCCTAAGTCTGAGTTTTCTTATCTGTAAAATAGGAATGGCATCATAATACCTACTGCATAGGATTGTTAGAAATGAGAGATCATATGAAAAGCGCTTCATATATAGTAATTCTTCAGTAAATGTTGACTCTTATCATTGTAACAAAAGTTGTTTTTGCAGTAGCACTGAATCCTAGTCCAACACAGTATCCTCTCAAGCTGATGCTTGTGTTGGAAAACACGACTCTTTAGGACAGAGGCCATTTTCAACATAAATGGCCGCTTTACCAGCAGCTGACAGAAGGATTACTCTTCAAACGGAGCCTACTCTAAGTAGATTTGCATTTGGAACGCCCCCAGATTAACCTGCTCCCTCTGCTTGCCTCTTGCTCACCACCAATCCAGTAACATTTGTATGGAAAGACTAGAGCATGCTGCTTGTGGTCTGAAACAGAAATGTGACCACAGGGCCAAAGAAAATTAACGACGTGGCACAACCTAAGCATCTTGATCATGGGCCAGGGATGAACAAGACTTAGAGAGACGTTAGCTCAGAGCGGGCCCCTTTCTTCTTAATAGACCCTTTAGTTAATACCAGTCATCCCACCAAATTTCTTTTCTCTTACCTGTTTAACTTCAATTTTTCTTGGAATTAAAAACATTTAGGATTTTAGAAAACATTGATTTAATTTTGTTAAGGTCTATGGTCCTGGTTGCATAAAGAAGGAAATCACATTAAAATGATATATATATATATACACACACACATATATTATGAAAGCCAGCTTTAGTTGATTTCAGTTTATGGCTTCATTGCCAAGTTGTCCTGTTAGATGACAATGCCTGCATCGCAGACACACCCAAACTGAGAACAAGCTGCAATAATAGCCCATCTGGGAGGAGGCAAGGAAATATGGACCCTGGGATCAGACTCAGAAACACAGAACTGGGTAGGAAAACCAAAAACTCCCTTCTTTTGAGTAGATTCTGTTAAGCCATTTTCTTCTATTATGGGACTTGGGGAATATTTTTGATTACTTAAGAAGGATTTATTTTACTTATCCAAAGAAACATTTTAAGGTGATGACTGGTCTTTCCAGGTGCTTTGCAGCTGAATGTAGTGTAGGATTGTGTGCGAGGCCACAGGTGTGAGTACAACTGCTGTGGCTGGGCGAGAGATACTGGCCAAATTTAAATCGTCCACCTTATTTTCTTTCCTTTTGTTCCTCCTCCTCTTTCTTCTCTTCCTCCTTCTTATTCTTCTTCTTTAATGAAATCAACTTATATGAAATGACCAAAATGCAAAACAACAAAATTCAACGATTAAAGGAGCTAAAGTGAATTACTTCTTGCTCAGTAAATATAAAGCATTGACTTTAAAAAAAATTAATTTTTTCCTATCTTCATAATTCCAGAAGGGAGATTTCTTATTTCTTTCTAATGCAACTCTGCACATGTATTCAGAAAAACCTCAGGTTGTAATGGCATTTTTTCACTCTCAATAACTGGCCAAGTTGTGGCCTACACAATAATTAACCCTAGTTGATATTTGGTCTGGCTAAATTGGCTTGCTGCTCACCCTCGGGGTAAGCCATATATTTGTAGAATGGAGTTTCATCTTGCAGAAAATACCTGGGAATACCCCAATATCCCAGAGTGAATGAAATGGGCGATGGGAGCCTTTACAAAGAGAAAGGAGAAGAAAAAGTCCTTTTGCCGGTATAAATTGATCTGCCACAGAGCATGCAATGAAACATGGGAGAGGAATAGTAGCCTTTCTGCTGTTTGAGGACCATTCACCCCGTCCAGGGCCCGAACATGTTGAGAAGGGTAGAAACACTCATGCACCTACACACACAGGCCTGGAGCCGAAGTCAGGGTGCAGTTTTAATGAACTGTACACATGTGTTGTAGGTAGCTGCGGAGTTAATATGTACAACCATGGCGTGTTCACCTGGGTAGGCACACTCCTCTGGCAAATGCACAGACTCTCCTGAACAATGATGCCATTGGGATATTTCTTTTTATTTGTCCAAAGTCAAACATTCGCTCTCTCAGATCACCAATATCTCATAAGCCCAGTGTTGGCCCATACTGCTGCAGGACTGGGACAAAGAGATGATGTTACAGTCTGGTTTCTACGGCAACAGAGGAGGGGCAATGAAAACTGAAATGTTGGAAACACCCATTCTGACAATTGTGACATAATTCAGGTTATTACAAGGACGTAACTACCAAAGAAGCAGAAGTGTCATTACCTTGCAGCTCATGTCGACAAAAAGCTCCACCGCACGTTTCTCTTAGTCTGGCTGCTAGGAGGAAGGAAACACGAGAAACATACACACACACACACACACACACACACACAGGCCTCGTTTTCTGCATGTAAAATGTGTGTGTTCTTTAAAAGCCAGTGGTTGGCTGGTTTTCCGGACATGATGTGGTTGAAGCTGTCATCGTAATGGAAATTCATTGCTGTAGCTATGGTAAATCGAGTTTTCTGCCTGTGCTGAATGCATTAGTCTAATGAGATGTTTGCAGCCGGAGAGCAGGGCTGCTGGAGACTAACTGTGAGCTACTAACACACGGGTGGAAGATAGCTTTTGTAATACTCGGTTTGCATGTGCTGAAAGTCATCTGTCTTCTGAGTCAACACTCCTGACCTGGTAAACAACCTGATCAGGGCTCTGGTGAACAGCTGTAGGTAAGGGTGTGCTGTTGACACGGGATCCTTCTCTTTTAACTGTCAGCATGACAGGTTACCTGTTTTAGTTTTTCTGGGTTGCATGCCTACGTCTATGGCAATGCCCGAGTGTCCTGCACTAAAACCACTGAGCCCAGTAGGTAAACTTTAATTTAGTTCTTCCTCTGCAAAATACAATGTTTAATTTCTTAACCAGATCTCAGAGGGGAAGATGTAGCATGGAATTATATAGTTTATAAATTTTGGTTATATACACATTCATTACTCTTTAACTCTGCATTTAAATATGGAGAAAGTTATTTTATTTTCCAAATGTGGACTCAAATAACCAGCTAACTTCCCCCTTCCCCCCACTCCGAGTTAATTTTGCTTTGCTTTGCTTTTTATCTAAAAAATTGTACTATGTCTTGGGATAAAAATATTTGCCTAAAATTTTATTATTAAAATTGGTATGTTATGAACATACAAAAGTGTTTTTTAACTGAATTTTATTTTGAATATCCCCGATGGAATATTTCACGTGTCTTTGTGCTGGTTTTTCCTAATTTACCAGGCATAGATGGGAATAGTAATTATTGCTAGTTGCTGGTTTTAGTTAGTTTTGCAGGGGGACAAACAGGTGACTATTGAGTGTTACGCGCAGTTTTCCCAAGTTCAAATACAGTCACCTCCTTCCCGGGTGGAGCAGTGTGTGCCGTGAGCCAGCTTCCACAGGTTCCCCCGAGGCACGAAGTGTCCCATCCAGGTTGCCTGCTGGCTGGACAGAACCAGCGCATGAGGCTGAGGTGCAGGCTGCTGAGTGAGTTGTTTTATGGTAGTTGATGTGCTGGAGTCAAAGTTCTTTCCACTATCTGTGACAGTGAACGCGAGGTGGCTCATTGTGTTGTCTCCAGATTCCATGACAGTACTCGTTAGACAGTCAGTAGCTTTCTGAGAAAGTGGCTTTGTAGTTGGGTTTAAGACACCGTGGTGCATGGGAAAGTCATGCAGGCGCTTCAGAATCGAGATGTTGGTTGCGTATTCTGTTTTTCTTCACTTCCAACCAGAGGAATCATTTTTCAAGAGTGAGGGACATAGCTGCTTTTTTCTCAATACTTTTTTTTTTTTTTTTTACATAATAGAATACGTGGAGTGAAAGCATAAAAATAAAAAAGTAACTATAAAGGAATTCTTAGTGTGGTAAACTATCTGGGGGGCACAATATTTTTTGTTACTTGGTAGAACTAACCTGAATAAATGAAAGGGTACTTGAACAGCAGCAGCTGGGTGAACGATTACCTAGAAAATCAGTCCCGAGTGATTGTCTAAACAAAATGTTAATGCAGAACCTTCAGTTTTAGGGAAGTTGTTTGGTGGCTTCAAAATCTTTACCTTTTAAACATATTTGTGACAGATTTTCAAAAAATATGAATGTTTTCTTTAGCTCTTTAAATTGTGTGGAGGAACTCTAATATTTTGGTAAATTTATCAGCCCGCTTGATTTGTGAAATTATAAGAAAGGTACAAATCCCACAAAAGCCCAGTTCTTTTATATTTAACTTGTTTACATTTCTTCCCTGTGCCACCAAAATCATTTGTATTTTTTGGTGAAAAAAACGGCAAATGAACAGTAATAGAAAGACAAGAAAACAAGAAGAGAAACAAGAGCAAATTGCTTTCCGTCATTTCTTTGCTTTTGGTGGTGTGTTTTCGAGGCTGGGGAAACCATCAGAAGCAGTTTCACTTTCTGGTTCTCAGGCTCCTGGGGGCGAGGGTGAAGGCTTGTGCTCCAGCAGCAGGTAAGCTGAGCAGATGAGCCCCTAGAAAACAAGCCAAACCCAAATGTTGTCACCCTGCTGTAAGAACTTTCGATAACATTTGCCTTTTATAACCAATACCCCAGAGTACAAAAATAGAATTTTTAAATTTAAAAAATTTTAAATGATGGGACAATCACAACCAGATTGCCTTAAATCTCTCATAATGGGTTGGCTTTTATTTATGTATTTTTGTCTCAATTTTGGGTCTCAAATTCTTAACTTCCACAAGTTTAAGGAAACATAACTGAAGTTCTCTGAAATCAAAACGAGGAATGCTCAGAGAGGACCAACCTTTACGTGATTCTGGGAGTTACATTTAGAGTGTTTCGTACGTCTGTTTACTATTTTGCGTGGCCTGAGGACACATCACACACATCCACTCATCCTTTATGACACGTACCTTGGAGCAACATTTGGTCCTGGCATAGGTGGCGGCTGGAGCTGGGAATGCACTCCCAGGGCCCATGTTGGAGCTTAGCAGGACAGTTTTCCTCCCCAAGTCTGTGGCCCCCGCCCCCCAAGCCTCAACATCACATGGGTGGACGCCAGGGAGCCTGGCTGTGCTCACCGCAGCCCACACATCCTGGAGACAGTGGGAGGGGACACTGCCCCTCGCGCCGCTGGGCTGGGAGCGTTATAGTTCCAAGCACCTCCAGTTCATCTCCCACTGACCCCTCAGGTCTTATTTGGGGATGGAACGGGAAAGAAGGACAAGGAGATGAGGGAGGATCCTCTTTTAATCTAGTTATCAAGGAGCATAAAATCTGGTCTAACATTTTGGGTATGAAGTTTGTGAAAGCAATTCCTTCTGGGGTGATCACAAAAACTTGTTTCTTTTGGTGGGCAAATCTGACATTTCTAAGAAAAGCATTTTAATAATGCCTCCTTGGACATTTTATTTCTTAATCCTGCAATCTCCCAAAAGGCTAGTTTCAGATTTACACATTTTCTATGTTTTCGTCGCCTTCAAAAGCAGACAGGTGAGGAAAGACAGAGGGGGATTAAAAATATCCCTAGGAGAAAAAAGCAAAGGGTTTGGTGTAGATATAATGTAACAGAAGCCACCAGGGTGTCTAGTAAATTACTCTAAATTTTAATTAATGACTCACAAAAGCCACACCACAAGCTTTAAAAATTACCCTTTTATCAATAAGGTGATAATTAACTTTCTCTGAAATTAGCAATTCTCTCAACCCCGGGCACTATGCAGCCTAGTAAGTTCCCTGGAATGCTGCCAATTTTTAACAATTGGTCTTTTGGCAAACCTACTGGATTTTAATTCAAACATCTATTGTGACATTTTCCAACGTGATTCAAAGACCATTAGGATCACCCAAATCATAGTAAAATGTCTGAGGTCAAAAGAGTAGCTTGGAATATTTGAATTGCATTTGAATATGTTGCTTTCTCTTTCTTCATTTTTCCTTTTCTACCTCCCCCTACCCCCCCAAAAATCTCTGTCTTTGCAAGAGCACAGTCTCTGCTCTAAATCTCTGCTAGAGTCCCTGCTGTAAATCGTGGTGGCGAACCCTGTATTTGTTGGTACGCCCATACCCAGTCTGAGCGCTTTGGCTGCCAGCCCACGGGTTCTAAGTGTTTTTCATTGTCGTTGCATTCATCTCGGTTTCAGTTCTGGCAAGGGTTTGTTCCTTCATATTTCTGCAAACTCTCACTGCGGTTTGTCGGATGCTGAGCTTTAGATTGAGACTTGAAGAAGAGGAGCTTTGGGGCCATTTCGGACATTCTCACCCGTGGCTTGCAATGTAGCTTGTTCTCACGTACACACATTAATGTCTGAAGAAGCACAGAGCATGCAGCATTTCAGAGCAGCCTGCCCCAAAACAACCCCTCCTGGACACACACACATGCACACTTCCAGTGCTGCTGGTCAGTGGTGGGCGGCACTCAGGGACAGCTTCTTGAGGGCAACGCTATTTGGCTACAGCAGCTGGAAAGTGAGTGGTGATGGATGCACATCACCCCTTCAGAAGTCAGACCTCTCTCTTCCCTCTGGATTCTTCCAACATTAGCATTGCTGGGCTCCTGCTTCTCTCAGCCAAGACACTTGGCCAGGGCGGGATGCTGGCGATGAGGCTTCCTGCTGGGTTAAGCAGGCAGTTCTGACACAGACAAGAACATCCTTGCCCGGCAGCAAGCAGCATTCGTCCATTCTGGAATAAATCAGCACTTAGCAATCAGGAGAGGCCCTTTGCTACCACCAGGGAGATAAAACACCTCTTGCTTCTTGGGATGATTACTTCTCACGCTACTATTTTAGGACAGAAAGGAATTTATTACCCAGTGGCAGCTCTCAGTTTGTATTAAGCTGAAAAGTCATTCCACTGAGTCTGTTTGACACTGAAGCAACAGGAATATATCCTGAGGTCCACACTGCAGGTTTCCCCAGGGTTACTATTACTACACTGGTTGTACCGGGTGTGTTTTCCAGGGAGTCCAGCGATATGAACTATGAAAACTCCTGTTTGCTCTTCCATCAACTCAGACGTGTTCTACCTACATTTCTGTTTGTGGGGCGGCAGATGTTCAATTCTTTTTTTTGGCAGCTGCATTTATTGATCAATAGAACTCAGTTCCACCATTGCTGATTTTCAAGAATTATCACACTTTCCTGCTGCCAGGCTGCATGAGCCTTTGGAGAGAAGGGCTGGGCTGAGGAATGGTCTTCCTTTCTCCATAAGGCATACAAGACAGAAGCAGAGTAATGGAGTTGGCTGTCATGAGAAAACTCATGTGCCAGGAAAAAATAGTGTCAATGCTACCCTTTGAAAGGTGGTGACGTTGTCTGCTTAGCCCTACAATGGTGACTCAAGTTTTGGGAGCTGAATATTTGGTAACAAAAGCCCATGCCCCTTTTCTCTTCTTGTGCTGCCCATTATACAGCAAGAGCCCTCATTATTTCAAAATGGAAACATATGGTTTGAAAGGAATCCTAAGGACATGTGCCGCCTTTCATGAAGATGGGTACTAAACTTGGGGACTAATGCTGAACTGGGCAAAGCAAAGAATTGCCCTGGTTGGGTCCAAATCCAATCCTGGGAAAGTGGCACTGAGCAAAGAGGTGCTGGGACAAAGCGCAGAGGAGGGCGCCTATTCCTTCTCCCTTCCAATGAGGACTTGACTGTCATTGTCCCACCTACATCCCTGGCGCAGTTCAGAAAGGATTTATAATAGCTAAGAGTG